AATATGTGGAGGGTTAACACTTCACCCCCTGATGGCTGCGACCTTACCTGAACTCTTTCAGTCCCAAACACTCCATGTCTACTGAATATTACTCATGTGCCCCCATGTCAACATGTTCATCTAAAGTTTAGTCGGGTAGATTGAATCAGTCCAACAATACACCATGTGTACTAGATATTACTCATGTACTCCCATATCAGCATGTTTACCTAAAGTTTAGTCAGGCAAAGTAAATCAACCCAAAAACACAAGTCACCCACATTGTGCTGTGTATCTGGTCCCTGTGGATGCAGTATACCCATACTGTTATTGTCATTATTGCTTCAATCAGGCATCAGCTGTGATCTTCTAGCATTGCAAGAGTTAACCTACGGATGTAGTCTGATCACACAATACATTCGTTCAAGATGACAGACAAGTATTAGATACAAATGTTATACAAGTGATGATCTGTGGCTTGTTTTTTTCCCACTTCCATATTTAAAAGCATGTATGAATGTACTTAATGAGGAAAGTGTTTGTACTGTACTTAATATGATAGGGAAAATATGTTTTCTATATTAAATGTAATGAGAGAAATTGCCTTGTGAACCAATCTGTGTGACAAATGCCAACATATCACAGATTTTGCCACTGTATGCTGCTGTCATGTTTGTACAATAAATATAATTGTCACCCAGTTTCTGCAACAATTTGTTCATTATTCATTCAGGTTTTTTCATAACATACTAGTTTTCTGCATTATTGTCCACTTTCTCCTTTCTCTTGACTGAACTTGTTTGTAACCACTTGTTATGATGTGGGAGAACCAAGTGGACAGACGCTTGCTTGCCAGTGCCAACGTCTTTGGCAGAGCAACCATGTCAGCACTATATACTAATTTGTCCAGGATAGGTAGTCTTTGTTCGACACTGGCACAATTCCAGGCAAGAATGGATTGCAACACTAAGCACTTCAGAACACAGAACATGTGCCATCAGTCGTTTTACACTTGTGGAGCTTTTGAGGAGGAGATCGGAGCACCTATGGATCTGTCTGAAGTGCTGTGATGATAATCGTTTCTAATCACTTATCACTAATATCTTGGGCAGCGGGCAGAATTTTTATAACTGACCTTGGCTCCCAGGTCAACCAAGCCAGAATGATCAGGAAATGGCAAGAAAAGTACAAATGGTCGGCATGATGTTGACCATACCCACCTGTCGAGTGCCAGTCTTCTTCTTTTGTCTGACTGCTTTTGCCAGAAAGCATCACACAGAGGAGTTCTATATAGTTTCCTGTTGTTTGCTAGTTGTATAGCTTGTGTTAATGTCATTACATTTCTGCAGTATCTCTTTTCCTCCTGCCACCCATCTCTTTCTTGGTCAGCCTTTTACTCTGTCGCCTGCTGCTGTTCTCATATAGTACATTCTAGGTGCTGGCTTGTTTCGTTTCATTCTGACCAGATCATTTGATTCTTTGATATTCTATGAAATCATCTACTGGTACTTTGCCAACTATTGTTCTTACTTCTTCATTGGTGACTGTCTCTTCTTATTTCTTATACATCTTATCTCCATGTTGTCATTCTACATTTGTTTTTCTAGGACTGTGCATGTCTGACATTGATAGCACAAAGTTTGTACGAATATCAAAGCAGTGTTTCCCCGATGAATTTGAACAAAGAAGACACAAACAATTGTACGAATAGCACATTTATCAGTTGCTTTTCTGTGTGTGTGTGTGTGTAAATATTTTGATGCCTCAAAAGTTGAACTGTATGGTAATTTATGTTGTTGACTTTCTGTATTCTGTTTTCTATTTCTCTGTCCAATCCTCCATCCTCTGTGAATTACTTGTCTAGATGTCCCTCCTTCAACAATGGTATTCTACTTACTGTATTATTTCTGTTTTTTAAGTATTTATTTTCATATATTTCTTGCAACAAGTGTTGAGGCTGTTTATGTGGTGTTGTAGATTATCCTTATCTTTGTTTAAGAGGGCCTGTTTGTCATTAGGAGTCTGCTTCTTTAGCTGTCTTATCCATACATATAAAGAATAAACAAGAGTGGTGACGGTATACTACCTTTTCATACCCCAGATGAGAATTCCAGTCTAAAATGGAGGATTAGGCATTGCAGAATGTTTAGCTTTGAAGTTATTTTTGCTTCTGACAGCACTTTGCTAATGCAGTTTCCACATATGGACGGCAGTCTACGGTTTTGCTTCCTGAGCTACTGAGGTTAGTGCTTGGTGCAGCCCTGTGAGCTGTGTTTTTAATTTGAAATGCCTTTTATTTGTGAATCGGTTGTGTTGTGGTATTCATTATGGCTGGTTAAAGTGTAATAATTCTACATGTGTATAGCCAACTTAGTGTATCATCGGGGCAAGGGTAGAGAGAAGGTTGCTGAAGAACTACAAAATAGCTCAATCGCATAAGCACTTGGCGGCAGTGACATGGTTCTCTTTGAATAACCATATTGTGAAAACTCCAACACCAGTTGTTAGTCTGTGTTCTGAGGTTATGGAAAGAACACATGAAATGAAATACCTGGGGATAGTTTGATCGAAGCCTTGCTTTTACTGAACACATATTATGTATGATTATAATGAAAGCAAGCGGAGTCTGGCTGCGATAAACTGTAAGCAGCGTCATCTATGTCTTCTGTACCAGGGTCTGATCCTTTCTGTTTTTGAATACGCATTGGCGATCTTGACTCTTAGCAGATGTAAAGAATACAGAACGAGGCTATGCGCGTTATACTTGGATGTACAAGAGATACAGCATGCAGGGCGATGCGCTGCCTTCTCGAATTTCCAACCATGAAAGGCAGAATACAAATTTCCTGAGCGTGCCTACCTCACAGTCAACGCGGACGCACAACATCCATTACATAATGAAGCTGAAAAGACGAAAGGCAGAAGGTTAAAAAGGGAAATCATGGATGCATCAAGCCGAGGACATTATTTTACAGGTATGTTCACTCGAGAGCATAGAACCCGGTGAGAAGTGGGTGCAAGTGCCTTTAGAGTGATGTGCATCCTTTTCTGTTTGCACCGAACTAGACAGAAAATGCAGGTAACAGAGTCCGGCTGCTGTGGAAGCAGAAGTTCAAGCGTTGATTTTCGAGAATGCTCTAGAGGGTGATGCTGTCATTTACACAGATGGGTCAGTCATCTGCCGTGTTAGAAGCTCATGGGCTTTCACGGCTCAGGTTGGAGGGAGACTTGTGAAGGAAGATTCTGGAGCTTTTGCTGGAACTACAAGTAGTCTGACTATGGAGGTCATGGCCGTGAATACAGCAGTAACATGGCTAGACACAGACCTTCACTAAGGACATGCTTTCTCAGTGACAATGAGTATGCCCAGGAAGATAGAGAGGCTCTGGGTACGAAGGCAGTAGTTGGTGGCGATCACGGCTAACAAGAATTAGTTTCATTTTTGTGCTAGGACGTGTGGGGGTACAAGGAAATGAGCAGGCTGACAGACTTGCGGGTAAGGCTATTGTGAAAGCCAGACAAGCCATGATTCGGGCTGATATAGTGAATGCTCTACGAGTTTTAAGATGTTTGACTTACTAACTGAGAACTGTGAATCTGCAACCACAGTCAGACTGCAAGAACAGCAGGTTAAATGAGATTTTGCTAAACAGGAACACTATGCGGGTAGCCAAAGAAGAATAATAAACCAACACAGAACTGGTGTCGTCAGCCACTACACGCTGCGGGATTTACTGAGGAGGGGATTAGAGTATTTATGGACTGAGTGGTTCGACGTGCAATGAGAATAATCTGTCGACTAACTAACATAGCCAACTTATCAGGCCCGAATACTTCCATCGATGACAAACTGCATTTCAGGTGGCGACTGTTGGCGTTGGTGTCTTTAGCAACTGCCACATGCATTTACTGCGTGCACATATTTCTGGATTGTGCCGGGACTTGTTTGTTCATCAGTTTTTCAAATGGGACATTTCATTTGATTTTGGCTAGCACAGGAACGGAGCAAGTATGGGGAAACCCGATTGCAATAATGATGAAACCTCGACTAAGACCCAAGATGAGACTTGGAACCAGTTTGTCATGCCTTCAAACATTCGGTTGTGTGGCACATAGTTATGATGTTGTCTAATAATTGTCCATTTACACCATACTCTTTGAGCACTGACCATAGTTTGTCTCTGTTTACTCAGTCGAAGGCTTTTTCTTGATCAGCAAAAGCCACATTTGGTTCATTGTTACACTCTATTGTTTTCTCACTCATTTGTCTCAATGTGAAAATAGCATCAGGGCCTCCTCTTCCTTTTCTGAAGCCAAACAGTGAACTAGCGAAGAGGTCGAGTCTAGAATCATATGCTCAATGCACCACTTGTGTGAGCAGAAAGCCTTAATTTACTTTCAGGGTATGGGGGTGTGGCCATTGAATCTGAGCACTCCAGATATAAATTTCTATCACCTTAGTTAAGATTCAAATATCTCCCAGAGCCTGCATTCTACCTGCTTGTCCCGACTCAGTGAAAGGAAAGAATTACAAGTTTAATAATTCAATATCAACCCAAAACGGAACAACGACAACATTATAATAAAATGTAATGAGTAACTGATAGACTGACATACAAGCCCTAAAGATTTTTTAATATTTAATGGATCTTTCACAAATGAAACTCATGATGTCTCTCATTTAACACTAAATGGATTCCCTTCTGAGTTGAACACGTTCAGTGTATTCAAGATGAATATGGTTGCAACACTTTTCAATGAGGTATGATTGTGACAGCATTCACTAACTGTTATCAATGAAACATGGTGATATAAAACAAAACAAACTAGCAAAGTACTAAAACTGGAACTAAACATATGAACTATAAATGTCTGACTGTATTTTTGTTTGGAACATTTCTCATGTAACAATGGGTATGTGTTGCGGGTATCAAAGAAACAAATGGCGGTCACTGATTTCCATCTGCTGCATTCTCTTCCCTGACGCTGATCAAGGTGAGATGACCACTGACCACTGTCAGTTAGAGGTCCATTGATTCGTCAACTGGTTCAGCATCAGCTGGAACTGGTTCTGGTTGGGCAGCAGCAGCCGACTGATCATCTGCCTCCATGGATTGCTGGGGACAGAGGAAATGATGGACTACACTGCACCAACATTAACAGAAGGAACTGATGGTTGACAGACTACACTACATCAATATTAACAGAAGGAACTGATGGTTGACAGACTACACTGCATCAATATTAACAGAAGGAACTGATGGTTGACGGACTACACTGAATCAATATTAACAGAAGGAACTGATGGTTGATGGACGACACTGCATCAATATTAACAGAAGGAACTGATGGTTGATGGACTACACTGCATCAATATTAACAGAAGGAACTGATGGTTGATGGACTACACTGCACCAACATTAACAGAAGGAACTGATGGTTGATGGACTACACTGACCCAACATTAACAGAAGGGAGTGATGGTTGATGGACTACACTGCACCAACATTAACAGAAATAAGTGATGGTTGATGGACTACACTGACCCAACATTAACAGAAGGAACTGATGGTTGATGGACTACACTGCACCAACATTAACAGAAGGAAGTGATGGTTGACGGACTACACTGCACAAACATTAACAGTATGAACTGATGGTTGATGGACTACACTGCACCAACATTAACAGAAGGAAGTGATGGTTGACGGACTACACTGCACAAACATTAACAGAAGGAACTGATGGTTGATGGACTACACTGCACAAACAATAACAGAAGGAACTGATGGTTGATGGACTACACTGCACCAACATTAACAGAAGGAAGTGATGGTTAATGGACTACACTGCACCAACATTAACAGAAGGAAGTGATTGTTGATGGACTACACTGCACCAACATTAACAGAAGGAACTGATGGTTGATGGAATACACTGCGCCAACATTAACAGAAGGGAGTGATGGTTGATGGACTACACTGCCCCAACATTAACAGAAATAAGTGATGGTTGATGGACTACACTGACCGAACATTAACAGAACGAACTGATGGTTGATGGACTACACTGCACCAACATTAACAGAAGGAAGTGATGGTTGACGGACTACACTGCACAAACATTAACAGTATGAACTGATGGTTGATGGACTACACTGCACCAACATTAACAGAAGGAAGTGATGGTTGACGGACTACACTGCACAAACATTAACAGAAGGAAGTGATGGTTGACGGACTACACTGCACAAACATTAACAGAAGGAACTGATGGTTGATGGACTACACTGCACCAACATTAACAGAAGGAAGTGATGGTTGCTACTGACTAAGGAGTCTGCTGGCCCAGCAGACGTGGGTTTAGATTTACAACACGGCATATGTTGTTTTTTATTAGGCCTGGTTCCCGAATCGACCCACACTAAAACTGATAACAATAAAAATGTGTCCGGTCCAGGGAAGCAAGGGCAGCCGATATGTTGACAAGATCACTCAGCTAGTGCTGACTGGTCTACACAAACATGGGGGGCTAATCACATGTCCGATACACCCAAGGCATGATTAGGGTCCTGGCATTGTATACTAGCTCTTTCTATCAGAGAATGGTCCCCATAGAGATCAGACTTTATCACTGGGTAGCAAGATAATAGATGCAAGCCCTCTTCAGGCCCAGGAGGTCAGAATGTTGACTTAAGAATTGAAACTTAGTCATTCCAAGGATTTACACTGTATTTTCCCATTGTGAATTTAAATAATGAAGACATAATGTATTGCACAATTTATAGTATGGCATATTTGGCTGTATTTTCTTAGATACAGTAACGCAGTGAAGCACAAAAATGATTCTTTTTTTTTTTTTACTGAAATACACAAATCACAAAGTCCATTGTTACACTGCAAATTTCTTATAGAAGTCTTAGATTAACCATGTGATCCTTCTGTTTAACATAATGTGGGATTGCTCATCTTCATGCCAATCCTTTCAGCCCACCTTCTGGAGTGAGATGCACAGTATGAGAAAGCACAGCATTCACCCAGGCTGTAGCCCAATAGCACAGGTTAGCAGCAGTCGAACTGGATGCAATAAACACTCTCACTCTCACTTAACAATAGGAAAGCCAAAGATTGCTGGAATGTGGCATAACATGAAGTCAGACACGGAAACAGTCTCTATCAGGTAACTGTATGCACTCTTTTGGGAATAATCTGAATGTCATTACACTGAAACCCACACACCAAAAGAAATAAAGAGAGACTAATACACAGAGACAAGAATTAGAGACTTAGCCCTAGTTGAGGAAGTATGCTCCAATAAGAGATAAAGAGAATAACTCTTGTCCCAAGCTTTTGCACATAAATATAAAGTAACATGCTGAATTTTTATTTATTTGGTCTGAACATACTGAAGAAATCTGACTAGATATTTGCTATTTATTGGTTTAATTTTTCACTGTGGCTTATGTCCCTGTTGTGAATTATTTGCAATATTTTTGACACTAACAGAATTTACACTATATTTATCTGTGACTAGTTCCCAGCTGTGTCCTCCGGCTTTGCATACTTTGCTTGACTCATGGCTTGGTATTGACTACTACAGAAATCACTGTCCTTGTGCTGGGTCGATCTGCCTCACCACATAAACAAACTGACATGAAACTATCAATCATGTCAGAAACACTGCAGGCATGGTGTTGTACTGTCTTAGCGGGAGAGAGGATTAAGAGTTGCAGTGTAGAAGCTGACCAGGAATACTTTACTTTTATGAAGTAAAGATGAATTATATTGATACTCACTTGTGGTTCCTCCGGGGCTTGTCGTACACTCCTCTCTTCACCTTCAATCAGGGTTAGCTGTTACAACTTAAGGAAGCAACCTATTCATTTAAAAACTTAAAAGGGTGTTCAAAGGCAAGAGGATTCGCTTCATTACACATTTATGGTTGCCCACATGGTGTGGTCTATCCGTATGTAGAGCAGCCACCTGTCTGTTTATAGCATTACACATTTATGTTCTGCCACATGGTGTGGTCTGTCCGTATGTAGAGCAGTCACCTGTCTGTTTATAGCATCATATATTTATGTTCTGCCACATGGTGTGGTCTGTCCGTATGTAGAGAGGCCACCTGTCTGTTTATAGCATCACACATTTATGTTCTCTGATACTGCTAAGAAATGTATTGTCCCACCAGGTTTAGTTCCTATTGGTGGTCTGTATCTGACCAGGACTTTGTACAGGTAGTAGAGATTTCTCAGAGAAAAGACAGACAAACTGGTTCTGCATCACTTGGTGGTGAATTGATGCATGAAAAGCTGGATGTTGTGGGAGCAAGTGAACAGTGTGGAGGCACAAAGAGACATAACACTCTGAGGAGAATGGCTGCGAGGAGTTACCAGGGGCTCTGGCCGACACTCAGCACTCAGGGGAAGGGCGAGATGGATATACAGACAGTTACTGTGCCATCGGAATTGGAACTCTTCACTTGCTGCTAAAGATGGGAACGGAGCGCTAAGAGAGTGTCCCGGGTGCTGTGATGTCCATTCCTTATTCAACACTGGATGTCAACTACGCTGTCTCTAGCTAGAAGCAGGAAATTCCCCTTGCAGCAAAGTTATAACCTAGTTATGACTTGTCTTCTGATATAGTTCCAAGGTATTTGCATGACACTGCTGACCTGAACATCTTTATAGAACATATGGTACAAACTAAATGCAGCAGTCCAAGTACAAGCAGGGCTGAACCAGCTAGCAATGTATACGGACAGTACAGGCAAGCAGTAAAAGCAATTAAATGTATACAAGGATACATATGGTGAAACTTCATCATCGTCTAGGATGGCAAACTTTGTGTCCTTGGCTGCTATTCCAATGGAGCAGTTCTATTGAAAAAAAAATATATTGGAAAATGAGAATTAACGTTAATTTTAAAATATTTGTAAAATTTCTAGGGATGTGACACATTCTGTCCTTGCACATGATCAGGACAACAAGTAAACACACACTAGCTCCTACAAATGGTATTCTGTGAACTCAGTATTAGATCGCTTCCTTCAATAAATGTCTCCCATTATAATGAAACCTTTTTTCCCACCTCATTAATATACTTTAAAAACTATAATTACTAACAGATTGGGAAAAAAAGTTAACGAAGATGCCTTTAATGTCTGTACCATCCAAGAGAAATAATCAGCCACTGTATCAGAACGTGAATCATTCTGTAAGCTCAACAGGAAATGAAGAAAACAGCAGCAGATCATGATATGAGGAAAGATTGAGGGTAAGAGAGGCATACAGAGGCTAACAGTGAGGATGTTGAACACATGGACACCATGGCATGGATAAACATCTGTATCAGAAATGATTGTTAAATGTGACAGAAGAGTGTTGGTAGAAGAACACCCCTCATCAGACGTCGACTTTTATGACCTACTTGTTAGCGGGGCAGTGGGTTACTTCTGTTAAAATGGGGTCCCAGAGCCAAAACATAGGGTATGCACATTCACACTGAAGCAAAGATAAGAGCGCTGGTTGAGTCATGGAGGACGGTGACATTCCACATTCACCTGTAGGGTGAACTGGACACAGGGTATAGATTTGCAGGAAGGTCAAAGCTACGCTATAAGGAGATGTGCAAACATGACTTGAAAGATACCAACACTGATAGAAGACACCCTGGAAGATAACATCTGCAGACCAATTCTATGGATGCAGACAGTGAAAAACAGACTGAAAAACTTTTCAAGAGGCCAAATACAACATACTATATAGCCATTATATAGGGAGAAGATGTTTGAGAAAAAACCAACCTCAGTATAAAAGAGTAGAAACGATGTTATGTACACTTAACAGGTTGCAAAAAACCAGCAGCACAACTCCATGCTCCCTTTGGGAGCTGCCATGGTAAAGTGGCTAGACACTTGCCTGCAGAATCGCAGGTTCAGGTCCTGAGGGAACCAGACTACTTTCACAAATAACCTTGGCTCAAGAAAAGCCCTGGGAAGTAAAGGTGGCCGGCAGTGAATGCTGGCCACATCACCCACCAAGTGCTGATTGGTCTACAAAATATAGGTCTAGTTCTATATACCCATTATACCTGAAGGTTCCTTTACTTTTTACATTATATATGTATATATACACAAATATATACACATACACACACACACTTAGCTTTCCATAAGTTGGCACTCTCACCTTTGATGTCAGATCTACTTCCTGTGGCAGTGTGTCCCTCAAAGCTCTCAAACCATGTTTCACCAGTTCATCCAGAGAACCTATGTACAAGATAAGTAGACAGATGTCAACAAGTCAAAGGAAGTTAGAAGTTCCTGTTTAGTTTGTTTCTGATCATTTTGCTTATAAAACTGCCTCTTTTATCAACTCTATACTGTCTGTTGTGATGTGTACTGATTTTTTTCCAAGCATAAATGGTGAAGCTAGTCCCTTTTCTGGCAAGTCACTGGTTATTATTAAAATGTTCTGGTGTCTCCTGTCGCAAGGCTGGCTCAACCTAGGAGAAACGCTGGCTGACACAAACACACACAAAATCATCATCCACCCCCTTTTGGGGATTTGAACTCAGATCACCGTTTCCACAGGAATGTGCACTAACCACTACTGGTCTGGTAGTCTTAGTTTCAGCTTCATAGCAAACGGGTCACCCCATCTTTGCTCCGCTCCTGTGCCAACAAAAAACACACAGAATGTTTATCACAGTCCCTTGTGGAAAGATTGACAGACTGCTGTCTCAGCATATCTAGCATACACTCGCATTAAAGCATACGGTAGCCATTTGAAGTGCTAACACAAACAGTCAAACATTAGAAATGCAGTTCATCATTGTGATAGCAGAACTTGTCGCCAACCGATCAGCAGTTGCCCACGCGATCAATTTCAAACACATACGGGCACCGCCAACATTGCACGACAGGCTTTGCGCCATTTTAGAAACTACAATTCACACCACCTCGTTGGTCACAGTTGAAAAAACATTCCAAATGCAATCAGCAGCTCACAGTGACACGCCATACATTCAACTCAGAAGTTGGGTGTGACGAAACTATATCCAGTCTACAAATGGAGCAAGAATGCATTGGCCACCGTCCAGCAGAAGCAAAAAATTTGCTTCTGTTTCGAACAGCGCCCCTGCCTAGCGCCCATTTTAACCGGAAGTTCTTCACTTTACTACTTCAAGTGGTGTACATTATTCAACACCGTAGTCAGAATTTTTAAATGAGACTTCTTATATTAGTCTTTTGCTTTAGCCCATGAGTGGTTATTTTTTCCCAATATTATTTCGCCCAAACTTCCGTAATCAGCAGGGTAGGACTGGTGTTAACTGATATTTTGCTTCAAACCTCACTTGCTGCAAAACTTTACTACAGTGTGATCTCAGTTGTGGCAAATTTATGTTGTGAAGAACCATTTCTTGGGTGAGTTCTCCTTACCAGGTCTGCCCTGTAATAGGTACGGCATACGTTCTGATACAGCTATTGGGTAAAGTTACCCCCGATGGGGACTAAAATGTAAAGCCTTCTTATTTCTGGGTCTTGACATACAAGATGGGAGAAGGGGGCAGTTAACTTCCTCATTGCTCTCCCAAACAACTCTGGAAATTTCAGACTACTCACCATCTCTTATGGAAGTGCAGTGGCTAGATGAGGTGGATTTTTATGACTGGACTTCCAACAAAACCTGATAGCTGCAAGTGGACTGCAACGTACAGGTGGCTGTGATGATGTAGGCCCTATTACACACATCACGTGCCAGTTGGTCTATACAAAATATGAGTCCATCACTGTATACTACATGTGCCACTGGCATGTAAAGGCTCTTTTACTTTTCTTATCCATCTACAAGAGTCCGGGTTAACCCCAGAGCCATGTTAATGGAGAAAATACATCCTGCCTTTGCTAGTGATTCCAGGCCACTATCTTGGCAGGAAAGCCCACTGAACTCGATGCTGTCATGGTTAATGGGCAGGACATGAAAACAGCCATTACATCTACTCAGTTCACACATGGTAAACAATACAGAAGAACTCACAGTCAGAGAACACATCCAGGCTTTTCTCTAGGTAGGTTTTAGCAGACTGAGATCGGGCTCCAATGGCCATAGCTTTGCAGTCATAGTAGTTGGCAGACGGACAGGTCTGGTAGATGTGTGGCCCCAAAGCCTGTAGACAACAAATGTGTATGTTACAACAATACAAACATCGACAATCTAGCTCTCTAGTGCTATATATCTCTTTCTTTTTCTTGTCACTCTCCCTTGTCAGTGTTGTTCAGATTAGAAAGTCTCATGCCTCTATGAAGGCTGTGGGGCAAAGCATGTCCTTCACTAATCCATCCAGGGTTTCCACCAGAATGTTAAATGGCCAGACCTGAGATCTCCTGGGATGTCTGCAGCACGTGTTCAGTACCCTGGGATGTTTACAGCATGTGTTCAGTATCTTGGGATGTTTACAGCATGTGTTCAGTATCCTAGGATGTCTGCAGCATGTGTTCAGTATCTTGGGATGTCTGCAGCATGTGTTCAGTATCCTGGGATGTCTGCAGCATTTGTTCAGTATCCTGGGATGTCTGCAGCATGTGTTCAGTATCCTGGGATGTCTGCAGCATGTGTTCAGTATCCTGGGATGTCTGCAGCATGTGTTCAGTATCTTGGGATGTCTGCAGCATGTGTTCAGTATCTTGGGATGTCTGCAGCATGTGTTCAGTATCTTGGGATGTCTGCAGCATTTGTTCAGTATCCTGGGATGTCTGCAGCATGTGTTCAGTATCCTGGGATGTCTGCAGCATGTGTTTAGTATCTTGGGATGTCTGCAGCATGTGTTCAGTATCCTGGGATGTCTGCAGCATGTGTTCAGTATCCTGACCTTATCACCCATTGCGTGCTCTTCGTCTAAAATATCTGACTGGCAGCGTATATCCAGTACACCTCATGGTATGAAATGAGGTCTTTTAACTTTAAAAATTACAAATTGATAGATCCTTAGTCCAGCTACAGCAAACCTACACTTTTCTACACATGGCACTTGGCTGGTAACAGCTCAGCAGCTATACAAGAGCTACAACAACAACAACCACTTACATCATAGCCTGCCACCAGTAAGCCAACACCAAAAGGTCGGCGTCCATACCTTTGTGTTGGAATCTGTGACTCTGTATATGAGTTAAGGAAATGTACATAATAATCCTAGTATGACCATCATATCAATCGTCTGATTAGCCGAGCAGCATCAGCATTTGACAGGACCACAGTCAGGCACCTACAACAAGCAGGAAGAAGCATGGACAGAGCGGATAAAATCAATGCTGTACACGGTTAGACCACTGGATACAAACAGGCCTCTGATGCTAATCCGACTAAGTATGGCTAAGCGTGTTTATGCTGTCTCTGAGGTACATATATTATAACCAACATCTTATGGAAACTGTCAGTAGAGGCTGCTGCACTGAAAATACTGGGCATGCATGGGAAAGCCTAGTGTGTAGCAACATTGGTCTTAATAATGTAACAAGATGAAGAATAGTCTATGCAACATATCTTTGCCTTTTGCAGTGAGAAAAGGTTCTTTAAACCTTCATAAGAAAATTCTGATTTATTAGAGTGAATCATGAATATTTATCAGAGTATAGTGAGAAATTATGGTTGCAGTGGGTATCTTCTCTGTTAATGGAGCCCCGGAACCCACATTTTAAGTCATGACACAAGGAGCGAGGGACTAGTATCCCTTCGTAGTCACCTTTACTTTCTGACAAGTTCCAGAAAAATCTGAACATTTTCTAGCATCCATTTTTAAGAAGCTGGATCAACCTCATCTCTGCTAAAAAAAAAAATCCTTTTAATATTGGGAAATGGAACCCAGGCCCCTGTTTGGCTGGCAAGTGCACTAACTACCACACCAATGAGGCTCCCCAAATGTTGTTACAGTAAAATATTTTTACACTTATCTAGGTTTTAAAAGGTGGCAAAAGTTATAAATGTATGTAAAAATAAACGATACAAAAATTTTAACTGAAGTCAAACCCTTTGTCCCATAGCTTTTAACTTCCTCAAAACTTTATAAGTCGAGTCTGTGTATTTTAGAGCTTTTGCAGTGAACTCTAGAACAGTAGTCGTAGTCTCCATAAACTTTACAGCAACTGTCTTTTGAGTCTCAGTAAACTTTATAGCAACAGTCTTTGACCCTCAGCGAACTTTAGGGCAGTGGACGTTGAGTCTTCGTGAACTTTATTTACAGCAAGTCATTGAGTCTCCATGACCTTTACAGCAATAGTCGTTGAGTCTCAGTGAACTGCACAGCAACAGTCTTTGAGTCTCAGTAAAGTTAAGAGCTAGTCATTGAGTCTCAGTGAACATTAGAGCAATGAGTCTCTGTAAAATTTACAGCAACGGTATTTGAGCCTTAGTGAACTTTAGGAGAAAGAGAACAGAATGAGCTGAAGCAGCCACGGTGGTAGAAAGTATGAACCTATACTATGTATAAAGTAATAAACAGACAGATGATCAGCTGTCTAGCACGGACAGAGTTAATACCATGTTCTGAACAATGCTCATGTAGTACATCCAGTTATAAGCTAAAATGATCTAAGACCAGAACTCCTGTTCCCTCTCTGATAATGTGCTTAAAAAATGTGGACTGTTTCTTCCGATTTAAATAAACCTGTTTGATTTGTGTAGCGGGTCACTCAAGCAAACAGAAAATGTTCTGTGATTCTTGTAGCTGTTGGGTGTTAAAATCAGAAAGAGCATACAGACAAATGATTGACTCAAACAACAAAAGGATACTGCTCCCAACCATGGACACCAGTCTGGAGATGGGCAGGGGTTTGTTGTAGGACCAGCGGGAGTTGAGACATTCATTTCTCATGAAGTTGCTGTAGAAGAAACACCGGTCACTTCACATCGACAAGTTTCAAGACAATTAATATTCACAGGTTTCACCATAACAAAACAACAAATAACACATATAATACAGTACGAGGGTATAGTCGGCCCTGCTGGATAGTGCAAAAACCTGGACAATGAACATGCAACTAGAAAATTAAACTGAGTATCTGGAAATGTAGCTATACAGAGGAATAGTTGTACGTCATGGAAACAAAACCAATCAAAGCAGACATGCTACAGAGAATGGGAATGGAAATAAATAAAAAAAAAAGAGACAACTGAAATATTTTGGCTACATTAAAATACATAACACTCTTTAAAAACCATACTGGAGGGAATTGTCAAAGGCAAGAGAGCAAGAGGCAGACACTGATACAAATGGGAGAGTGTACTACTAAGACAAGAGATAGAGTGTGTTGGAGATCCACTACAGTCAACCTTCACTGTGGAGATGGCACCTGAATGAGTGACTGATGAGGGTTTATTTTAGGTACTATAATAATCCAAAGTTGTAGCTGTTATATATGTGTGCCTGCGGTGGGTGGGGATGTGTGTGTCATCATAGTATACCCAATAAAATATGGCCTGTGAATTTATTATCCACAAAATAATAATTCAGCAAATGCAGAAAACTGACTTTGACATAATATATAACAACACAGCATAAAGATTTATTGTACATACCACAACAATCTGGCATCTGCGGTAAGACCAGCTATGGAAACACCCACATGGTCATCAATTGGTATAATTTTCTTTTGATGGGCAGACAACTCTGATGGAGCACGCTAAAAGAGATGCACAATTCCTGAGTTCAAGATATAGCTTTTAAGGAAAACAGCTGCAACAACTGTTACATACATCCATTAGATTTTCATTTTCTCAAGCTTATTCAGATTTCCTATACAGTAAGCATGGCAAGCATTCATGTCTCTCCTTGACTATTTTGCCACCGGTGTATTAGACATTGTTCTTACAAACCAAGTCCTATTTTCTTGTTGGATGCATTTGGTATTGTGCTTTGGATATATTACAGCTTGCATTCTACAATTAGTCATGATATATATTTAGTATAATTTACTTTCTGCATACAACAAAATATATGTTTTAATGTTCACAGCTTCAGCAAATGCCTAATCAGTGTCTGGTGAATTTAAAAAAGAAAAAAACTGAACCACACCTAGTGGAGGCCATGACAATTAAAAATGAACAACTTAGAGTGCACTAGCACATAAATTAAAAGTTCTTTAAAAAAAAAAAATTTTCAACTTCTCGCTTCTTCAAATAAAACACCCAGATACTCTCCCACAGTGATGACCTACTGTAACTCAAAAGGTTGTAAATTTGAGAACTGAGTTATAAGATCTCCAGATGAAAGCAACAAGAACCTGTATTCCTGTCACCTGAAGAATGGTGGGCACTAAATAATTTAAGATATGTCTTAGATGAAAAGATGATGGGGAAAGGAAGTGATCACCTTACCTTGTGTGTCATGGCCTATTTTATGTGAAGACCTCACACTTTACATCCACAGGGAAGTAACTACTATGGGATTACATCTACCTTTACAGTATCATTGAGATGTAAAAACATGGTGAAGATATCTGACCATGCTACTCCTCTCTCCCCTGCTCTCAACAGTACAACTCACGTAAGCCCACATTTAATTACACTGTAAACATTAACATGTCTATATGTAAATAAAATGACCGGTACTCCTCCTCCTTTTCAACATTCTCTGGTTGTAAACTCCGGCCAAAAGTTCTGGTGGTTCAGATACTTCTGGACTTTAGTCCTGTTCCAGAACTTGAGTTCTGCGTACACACCAATTTCACGGAAGGGGCACATCAGGAAGGGACCATGAATGAAGGAAGAAATTACCGCAGAAGGAATGAGAGCTGAGCATCTGTGAAGAAACAGAGTAAACACAAATGCTAACTACAGCGGTCCTGAAATTCCATGCAGTAATTGTGGAAGATTTTTTTTCAACACAGGCAGATTTTGCTGGTCACTCTCCATCACCACAGGCTGTGAGTCCCATGCCTCTCCATGGTGCAACATAACACTATTATCTGCAAATATGCCAATCACTGTTAGGGGGAAGTGGGTATGTCCCACCCACCCCCTCTCTAATAGGGCCCTGGGGATGACTGGTACTTACTTTAAGAGCAATTAGAATAGCATGAGTTTTAGACTTGAGACCAACACATGCAGAGCCTTGCTTGACTGCCTCCATGGCGTACTCCAGCTGATGTATCCTACCCTGGGATTTATCGACAACAGAGAAGAAAATCATTCAGACAGGCAGACTACGAAAATGAAACATCACAAAATATCATACAATGATTAAAACTGTCATCATTTTGGAAAGCAGTAAAATAGGCAGATCTTCTGAGTACTGATGAAATTTTTTTTACCAGTAAAACACAATGACAACATCAATATATTTAAAGAAAGTAGCAGGTGATGTGAAATTTGTTGACACAATCAGTTTGACCTCAATAAACACTAATATAGACAGCTCATGTCACAGGTCTCTTGTGCTATAAATCTCTGATATAAAGAACCTCTTTTAAATTTCACTTGTTCTAAAAATTATTGCTCACTACGGTATATTGTCTGTTAGCAGTGGAGTCAGATGGCTGAATAATTGTAGTTGTGTTTATTTTCTTATGTAAACTACCCCTCAGTTAGTCTTTCCTCTTGAGCCTAGGCAGCACATAGGGCAAAGGTCATAGTTCTCCATGTATGGTGGTTCACTGTCACCTGCTTTAGATTTTGGATGTTTGTTAAGCCCATAGTTGAGCCTTCCCTGATAATGTTCTATGTAGAATACCCAAGTAATTTCTTGAAACCATTTTGACCCTTAAATAGAAAACAACAAATCCAAGTGTGTTATGAAGATTTGTGGTCTGTATATAAATCATGCAACTACTGTTGAAGATCACAGTGGTTTAGACTGAACAGTATGTAGATTTGCGGTCTGTAAATTACATTATATAGATCATGCAACTACTGTTGAAGATCACAGTGGTTTAAACTGAACAATATGTAGATTTGTGGGCACTGTTGAAGATCACAGTGGTTTAAACTGAACAATATGTAGATTTGTGGGCACTGTTGAAGATCACAGTGGTTTAAACTGAACAATATGTAGATTTGTGGGCACTGTTGAAGATCACAGTCGTTTAGACTGAACAATATGTAGATTTGTGGGCACTGTTGAAGATCACAGTGGTTTAGACTGAACAATATATAGATTTGTGGGCACTGTTGAAGATCACAGTGGTTTAGACTGAACAATATGTAGATTTGTGGGCACTGTTGAAGATCACAGTGGTTTAGACTGAACAATATATAGATTTGTGGGCACTGTTGAAGATCACAGTGGTTTAGACTGAACAATATGTAGATTTGTGGGCACTGTTGAAGATCACAGTGGTTTAGACTGAACAATATGTAGATTTGCAGTCTGTATTTTACAGTATATATCATGCAAGTACTGTTGAAAATCACAGTGGCTTAGACTGAACAATATGTAGATTTGCAGTCTGTATTTTACAGTTTATAGATCATGCAACTACTGTTGAAGATCACAATGGTTTAGAATGAACAACATATAGATTCGTGGTCTTTATATTACTGTATATAAACCATGCACCTACTGTTAAAAATGTAAATATCTAGGGTCATTTTTCACCTCAGAAGGAAGAATGTTTAAAGAAATAATCATACGATGTGCGAAAGCAAATCAGGTTGGGGAACAATTGTCACCTCTTCTGACGCATAGAAAGATACCTGTCAATCAAAGCAAATCTCATAAAAATGTTTTTTTGGCCAACACTGTGCTACCAGTGCCAACATGGAATCTTACAACTTATGAGCGGAAGATCGTAACAATAGAGATGAGATGTCATAGGAGAGCTGCCAGTGTGACAAGAAGATATAAAATCAAGAATGAAGACCAGTCATACAATTCATTAGAGAACAAATGAGATGGTCTAGCCACCTGACGAGAATGCCCTGGTACCAACTGCCACAGAGAGCCACGCTGAAGAAATATAATGAACACAGAGCAAAGGGAAGACCCCGCAAGACATGAAGCGACATCTTCAGGAGCAAAAAATTAACACCAACTTGTACAATATATTGGAAAAAGCGCACAAACGATCCTTACATCTCCCCCCAACATCTCAATGAGGTAAGTAGTAGAAAAAAAAGAAGAAGAAGAACTGCTGTTAAGGATCACATTGGTTTAGAATGAACAGTATGTAGATTTGTCGTCTGTATATTACAGTATAAAAAACATGCAATTACCGTTGACGATCACAGTGGTTTAGAATGAACAGTATGTAGATTTGTCGTCTGTATATTACAGTATAAAAAACATGCAATTACCGTTGACGATCACAGTGGTTTAGAATGAACAGTATGTAGATTTGTCGTCTGTATATTACAGTATATAAATCATGCATTTACTGTTGACGATCACATTGGTTTAGAATGAACAGTATGTAGATTTGTCGTCTGTTATTACAGTATATAAATCATGCAATTACTTTTGACGATCACATTGGTTTAGAATGAATAGAACTGGAAGGTATGGTTCTAGGAACTAGTGAATGTCATTTTCACAGAAGCTATTGAATTTCTTGGACATCTACAAAACCTTCTGTCAATGAAAGTGTTAACAAGCTGCATTACTGATACATCATGACTGTACAAGATGTTTTGTCACACAAACCTGTGGGCTCCAGACAGTAACATCATTGTCATACTGGTTTCTGAACTGAAAAACAATGTTACAAAACAATGTTAAAACATATTTAGCACATACTTCAGACAAAAATATCGTTTAACAAATGTAACGTCAGAGCCTTTATTATGCCAACTAAGGGACAACTATTGCAGACAAGTCTTAACAAAAATACAGATCCTGACTATTTACGATACTGCCCAAAACAATGGCTATGACACAATGATTGCTTTTACAAATATATAATGGTACAATATCAGATCACCCAGGTGATAGCATGGCCCACAAGAAAAGTAATGAATAGTTATACCACAAACTACCTTGAATGTTGTGGTGTGAGACCAGCCATCTGACCTCTCAACAAAAACTGTAGCTGCAATAACCAACTTTTCCTGAACAACAAAGAGCTTAACACAAAATGATGTGAGCTAGTCGGGGACTTATTATGCTCTGTCAGGAGCTCTACTGTCTAAATGACTGATGACTGCACTATATAAATTACATAACCTTGCTTTTTTCAAAGTACAATAATAAACAATAGGACTGCAGTCTGTGACTGCACACTGTACTTTGCAATTCTGTCCCACAACTTTCCTCACTGTTTCTATTTCTTCATGGGCAGATTAAGAAGATGCTTAAATGTAAGCTGTAATGAAATGACTAATATGTACTGTACACCTTAAGAAATATTATTCCTTCCTTTAGTACTTACTTAACTCTTTGAGTCCCAAGGAATGCATCAAATATTCATAGGTTCCTACCTATAAGCCCAATTAACGCATGATGCGCCAATTTCATGTCTCTCTTTACTACCCCATGGACCTGTGATGCTAAACCCACTGGGACTCAAACAGAAAACTGTCTGTTCCTGATCCTATTGATTGATTTTGATTACTGATGTCTAAGTCTAAGATAATAACAATGATATGCACATTGAGGAGGAATGGGACTTAGCCCATGGTGATAGCAAGTGTGACTAGCAAGTCCGGCCTGCATTAAGAAAAGTCTTCCACAATTTTAGCATATGATTTCACAACCACTGTCATCACATTTGTGTTTAGTCTGTTCCTGCCACCTGTGCCTTCACATACTGTGAACTGGGAAAACTTGCTAATACCTGCTCTTTCCAATATCTCCACGTTTGTGATCTTGTCCTGCCACTTAATGCCAAGCATTCTTCTTAGGCATCGCACGTGAAAGCTATTTAGCCGTTTCTCCTGGTGCAAATAAGCTGACCAAGTTTCACTGCCATACAGTAGAGTGCTGAGAACACAAGCCTGATAGACAAGAGTTTTTGTTTTAACCGTGAGCTTTCTGTTCTCCCTAACTCTTTTTGTTAATCTGCTCATTGTTGTTGCTGCCTTACCTATCTTAATGTTGATTTCTTGGAACAGTGATAGTTTGTTATTCACTGTTGATGCCACACAAGTAAAATAGTCAACTGTCTCCAGCTCTTCACCATCAATGTAGACTGCAGGTCTATCACCAACACCTTGATCTTCTTTTTTGCAGATTGTTAGTCCAAATTCACAGTATGCATCACAGTCAGGGAACATTGCAGCTCTTCTTCTGAGTGGGTGGTAATTGCTACATACATAATCTCTAGCAAGTACCTTTCTTATCCTGGTATGGACCTTCAGCCTATAAGCATTGCAAAGTATGTTCCAAAGAGGGTAGGAGGAAGTACACATCCCTGCTTCACTCCATTGTTGATTACAACTCCTCCAATGTTACACCTTCAAAGTTAATTCTACCTTTCCCATTGTGTGAAATGTCTCCATAATGCTCAGTATGGTAGGCGGACTTCAGCGGGTCAACATACATTCTGGACTAACTAAATAAAATGCCTTGGTAAGATCAATAAAAGTAACATGCAGTGGTTGATATGCCCTTTATACAACCAGTTATTCACTGCATTCTTTGAATCATGCCCTGGTACACGCTATAGTAAAGCCAGTATAGCTACTGTCACAAAACCTTGTTTTTTATCATTTCTTTCTGCAGCTGGGTTTCTACTTCTCAGGTCTTCTAAACATAAAAGTATTTAGTATTTTTCTTCTTTTTGTTTATCTGAGTGGCGTAAATGCGTTGTGCTTATTTACAGCAAAGCTGCAATAATAAACCTTTCGGCCGACACATCCAATTTCATCAAGCATTTGTCGACCGGGTTAACCCCCTGGGTAGTTTCGTGGTACAGGGAAATGGTATGGTCTTATTTGTGCGGTGTTCTCTTTATTCCCTTATCTACAAGGGAGCCCCTGGAGACCCTATCCAGGCCATCCGCATGTAGACTGGTCGGCCTTCATGGGAAGGCAGGGGCAAATCATGGACATCCCCTGCCATCCAAACAGGCATCATAAATGCAGAACCGACACTGGCCTGGGCTCACCCAAGACATCATCATGTCATGCACATGACACCTAAACCTCACATACACATGTAGAGTTTTCCAATCATCATGGGCTGCAACCTATGTAGATCAGCAGGGAGCAGCCTGCAGCTCCAGGTATTTTTTTCCCGGCACATTAGACACCTTTAACATTTTGTTTTATCTGGAAATTTAGCAAGATAGTATGGCAGAACATTCATCCGGCATAGCTCCCCCTTTTAGGTCCAACACTCTGGTGAGTGGGACATATGAACCTTTCTGCCAATTATTAGAACTTTTTTGGTCAGACATTCTGGACTTTGTTTCTGTGCCATATCAGACGGACATTTATGCCAAACAAGCACACTGACAGTGGCAGATTGCCATGGTGTACCTTGCCTCAACGCGGTGACGACAACACTAAGGAACAGCAAGGGATGTATGGAGACAGGACTGCTTCGAGTTACCGCCTGCAAGAGATTTGCTCGTCTGTCTAGGCTGTGAGCAGATCTCTTGGTATAGGGTTGAATCTTGACTACAACTCTAGGGGCTACCAATTCTGAGATCCCCTACCATTTCGGTTCAGGTCACAGAGGTGAGCCTTTATATTTTATCCCTGGCACACGACGTGGACATGCAGCAGGAGTCTTGAAAAAGTATCTGTAAAACCATACAAGAGCAGTTTGGCACCCGAGGTGAGGTACTGACAATAACTCCTTGCATACATCACAACGGCCTTGACTTTCTCTCATGCCTGTGACAATATCACAGCGCCACTGCGAGGCTAGTCTCATTTGTTATTGGAATTAACCATACAAATCGCTCCACCAACTAAGAATAGATATAGAGAATGACAGAATGGCCATGCACCACCATCCACCGAATCAAGAAAGAGTTAATTAAGGTTATCAATCATGTTTTATTGTTTATTTAAAATCGTTGCAAACTGCCATAAAATACAAATCGCTCCACCACCATGACTACTAGGAACGTCTATCGCACCACCACCCACCGAATCAAAAAAAAAGTTATCAATGTTTGATTCAATCTCATCTGTCATCTCACAATTAATTACTAGTCTTTTATCAGTTGCTAAGCTAATGTTATTGCTGGGAGACACTGATACATTTGATAAGTGTGTTGTTAAGTCTTTCCTTCATTATTGTTTACAGTTAATATTAATAACTGAGTTACAGTTTATTTAAAGTCGTTGCACATTCATCAAACTGCTCAAACAAAGCTAAAAAAAAATACAATTTCAATTACTGACCAGGACGGGACCACTTCTGTAGATTTTTAATAATATAAGCTCCACGTACAGCAGAAATATTAACTGCTATTTTATAAGTTAATTGTGGCAAACGTTCCGTCGTGTTGTAAATCAGTCACAATTGAATATAAAATACGTTACCATGGTTAAATCCAAATGAAAATCTTGGCTACAATCACCGCGATTACAGAAGTTTCAATCTGAGATTCCTCTTTTTACCGTGACATGCAGAAATGGGATCACTGGTTTCTATCTTTTTGTTGAAACGAGCGGTACTACTTCCGGGATTCTTGAATAGCCAGGTACTACCGAACTATTTCTGTTATGCCATATCCTTGTCTCCCCTCCCCGTCCACCCATTTCCCATTTGTCCCCATTACGAAACAAAAACAAAAACACAAAGTAAAAAAAAAAAAAAAACTAGGTACAAAATGTATGCATCATGAGTCTTCTAATCTCTGTATCGTCTGATATTATAATGGCGTTGCTTTTTATACTATTTATTGTCTAGCTGCTGCAAGAAAGTGCACGTTTCTCTGATTCTGCTCTACTATTTTTCCCCACACACAGCCGCATATGTCACCCTGAGCCGCGGCATGGAAACACCACTGGTAACCCTCAACTAAATGTGTGAGCAGACGATATCTATCAAATGTGTCCAACTAATTTGATGAGATTCCAGCTAGGAAACAATTTTAGTGCATATGTCCATCAATCCAGGATTCTACTGAACGACAAATTAGGTTTAAATTTCCACCACCGCGAGCCAGTTAGTCGACGACGTTTCGGGATCACAACAATAGAGCAATTTGCCTCAGACATATCTTTCCATCTTGTTCTTGGTCAACGAGGTAGACCAAGAACAAGATGGAAGGAAAACATCAGAGAAACTCTACAACAGCACGATGTGCCTATGGTCGAGGCGGCCAGAAGAGCTAGAAACAGAACCTTATATCTCCCTCGACACCCACAGCGGTAAAAGAGGAAGTGAAGAAGAAGAAGATATCTTTCAAAGGAAACAAAATGATTCTACCTCTATTCTGGAGTTTCATGATTACAACAGACCACATTGCCCCAGGCACGTCTTTTAGAACAAATGAAATCATCCTGCCTCTGTTCTGTCACAATGAATATCGCCAAGTTTATGTGTGGTAAATATTGTTTACGAGGCCATTAGATCTAAAATTGCTGGACACGTAAATACATTTGGAGAAAAGTCTAAAGTGGCGAGAAATCGAACTGCTCATTGTGCGGATCAAAGTCAAACATCTAGTGAGTGCTGGTCTCTGAAAGTGCATCACTGTTGCAGACGTATTGGGACTGCTTTCATTTAAAACAAACAATGCATGCTAAGAGAGCGATCATAATGCAGGAGTACAAATTGCCTTTACAAAACTGCCCAGGTATTGTTTTATATAGAGGAAGAAACGGCTAATAGCTTTCATATGCGATACCTAAGAACTTCTTCTTCGTTCCGTTCATTGGCTGTAAACTCCGGGAAAAGTTCTGGTTGTTCATCCACCTCTGGACTTTAGACTTGTTCCAGAACCTGAGCGTTGCGTGCACATCCGTTTTTCACATTTGACTTATTTGTGTGCAGATTGTTGATTCCCTGCCTCTCAGACAGATGCACTCCGACTTCGAATTAAAACCCCAATTAGTCTACTCTTACGACATGCTTGTTGGGGATATTTTCTTATTTTCCTCACAATGGGGCCCCGGAAGCCACACAGGGAATACCTAAGAACAAGTGGTAAGAAAAGATCACAAACACCCAAGGATTAGAATGAGCATTATTACAATAATTGTCTCAATGTTCTCTTCGAATCGTCAGATGGCTAGGACACACATGGAGGATGGAGGGTGGTGGTCCTTTAGGGCAGCCCTCTATGGTGACATTACAGATGTGTAGAAGATGACACCTCTGCTACGATATAAAAATGTAAAGTATGATTATCAGCAATGGAATAGGAATAAAGCAGAAAGTAATTGCAGAGAGGTTAGGAGCTTAACAGCTGGGGAGAATCACATCATGTGCACGTGAAGATGGCAACAGTAAGATACTGGTCTAGAGAGATGGAAAGGTACCAACAACAACATGATATTATGGTCTGGAGAGATGGAAACATACCAGCAACAAAGTGACGCTATGGTCTGGACAGACGGAATGGTACCAGCAACAACGTGACACAATGGTCAAGACAGACAGAAAGGTACCAGCAACAAGGTGACACTATGGTCTGGACAGACGGAAAGGTACCAGCAACAACGTGACACTATAGTCTGGACAGACAGAAAGGTGCCAGCAACAACGTGACACCATGGTCTGGACAGACGGAACGGTGCCAGCAACAACGTGACACCATGGTCTGGACAGACGGAACGGTGCCAGCAATAACGTTACACTACGGTCTTGACAGACGGAAAGGTGCCAGCAACAACGTGACACTGTGGTCTGGACAGACGGAATGGTACCAGCAACAACGTGACACTATGGTCAAGACAGACAGAAAGGTACCAGCAACAACGTGACACTATGGTCTGGACAGACCGAAAGGTACCAGCAACAACATGAAACTATGGTCTGGAGAGACGGAAAGGTACCAGCAACAGTATGACACTGGTCTAGACAGACGGAAAGGTGCCAGCAACAACGTGATACTATGGTCTGGACAGAAGGAACGGTGCCAGCAATAACGTTACACTAAGGTCTGGACAGACGGAAAGGTACCAGCAACAGTATGACACTACGGTCTGGATAGACGGAAAGTGCCAGCAATAACGTGACAATATGGTCCGGACAGACGAAAGTTGCCAGCAATAACGTGACATCATGAGCTGGGCAGACGGAAAGGTGCCAGTAATAACGTGATACCATGGTCTGGACAGACGGAAAGATGCAGGCAATAACGGGACACTATGGTCTGGACAGGAGGAATGGTGTCAGCAATAACGTGAAACTATGGTCTGGACAGAACGAGAATGTGCCAGCAACAACGTGACATTTTGGTCTGGACAGAGGGAAAGGTGCCAGCAACAACACAACACTATGGTCTGGACAGAGGGAAATGTGCCAGCACCAACACAACACTATGGTCTGGACAGAGGGAAGATGCCAGCAGTAACGTGAAAATATGGTCTGGACAGAAGGAAAGGTGCCAGCAATAACGTGACACTATGGTCTGGACAGAACGAATGTGCCAGCAACAACAAAACACTATGGTCTGGACAGACGGAAGATGCTAGCAGTAACGTGAAAATATGGTCTGGACAGAAAGAGAGGTGCCAGCAACAAGGTACATCGCTAAAGTCAGATGGAGTCGGTCTTGCACTGGCTCTCTTGAACCAATCAATATACACGCTGGCTTGTTGCCTTGTATTTCAGAACGACCCTGGCATTATAACCAGATACATTTTTGTAAGAGAGAACTGTATGTCTTATTGACCACCCATGACACTCTGGATATGAAAACGCATGAGCTAAGGTACCTGTCGAAAGATCGAGTCTTGTTTGACGGTTTTTATGACAGCGATCTGCATCGGACTTGTTACTTGATGATGGGATAGGTTCAAACTTAAGCTGAGTTTAAAAGTTACATCACAGACACTACACCCACTACTACTATTCCTACACCGCCTGTTAAAGAACCAGTCCACATGTAGGCTACGCCAAATCTATTGACTTTTACAGATGTGTTAAAGAAAAGTTTCTTAAGATGCTTGAAAACTACAGTATATTGATATCCAGCATTTTAACAACTGGTCGTGCTGCCCTATCCCCAAATTCATGATTGCAGCCTGAACGATAAACACCCAGTGACTCGAGGAGCCGAACTTTTGAGGCTGAATTCAATCAAGGCTACGCGAGGGACAAAACCGGAGATAGAGAGGATGGCTCAGGATTGAATTTAGTGGCAACAGTTTGTCTCTGCCTTATGTGCCTCAGGGCGCGATGAGGATTGATTGATTGACTCAAAGAGCCACTTTTCGAATGACAATCCTACAGGAGCAAATCACAGAAACAACGCTTAGTTGTATAAAGGTTAGCCTATATTGGAACTTCCAAATGTTACAATACAAAGTAACTTACAGTCCAGTGGGGGTGGGTATTTTGTAAAACGTATTTTAGCAAACTCTCTAATGTGTATTTGAGAGCTGCCGCGGTATAGCGTCTAGACGATCGACTGCGGATCCGAAAATTGTGGGTTCAAATCCGAACAGAGCTGGACTTTTTTCAAAATGACCTTGGCTCCCAGGTCGACCCAGCCTCAAATTAGTACCAGGTAAAGTCCTGGGAAGTAAAAGCGTGATGTTGACCACGTCACCCACGGAGTGCCGATTGATCTACAAAATATACGTCTAGCTCCCGTTATCCCAGTATGTCTGACTGAAGGTGTAGGAACGGGTCCTTTACCAATGTGCATTTCCCAATTCTATATTTGAGAATGCCGATGATCTCAGTGTGTGTTTACTTCCGGCATGACGTCACCGACAAATCTGCTGCTAGTGGAGTCAGTGTCACAAGAAAATACCCCGGCCGACTGAAATAGACGGACACCTTTAGTTCCTCGTTGTTTTCATAACCGAAGTTACCCTGCCAGCAGCGACAGTTGTACCAGCCGTTTAATCATGTCCAATATGGAGAGTATCCTTTATCAGTGCAGTCAAACATTTACAGAGAACAGGAAATTCTAAGTGTTGAAGTTGATGCCTCCATTTTTCTCTTTACTTTAGTCTTTAACTTTGTTGTTTTTAGTTACTGCAAGAAGCTTAATGTTACCTGACGGATTAATTTTATTAATTCCTTATATATTTATAAATTGTATTAATCACTACTTTATATCCTTGTTTGTTTGTTGAAATTATCAAATTATATCCATACTTTTGACAAATAATTGAATGTGAGTAGAGTATATTATTAGGGATGCTAGTAGTGAAGTTTTGGCTATCCTCCGAACTTCGGGCACTAAAGATGGCGGTCACAAAATATATTTTCGAGCCACAGTCACGTGACTTAATTTGCAGTTCTCTAGCGGTTTTCCGACGACCACCGCCCGGAGTCCCCCACGCCGCTCATGTGGCGTGGATTGGGGCTAAACTAGATGGCTAGGACTCACGAGCAAAGCTTCAGGAGATGCAGAAGCTGCTGCTCATGGGTCCTAGCCATCTAGTTTAGCCCCAATCCACACCGCTCACGCGGCGTGGGGGAGTCGTGGCGCTAGTCGCCGGATAACCGCCGGAGAACTGCAAATTAAGTTGCCGGAAGTGCGCAATTGACACGTGACTGTGACTCGAAAGGATATTTTGCGGCCACCATCTTTATTGCCCAAAATTCGCAGGATAGCCAAAGTTTTATATATTGGGTTATTACTTATGAAACTGCGACAGCAGGATAGAGATTGAAATATCCAACCCAACTGTACCTCAATGAAGCCTGCAAATCAATTCTTAAGTGAGATATTAACATTTTAGTGGCCTATATCTAAGCATTATGATGGAACGAGAGTTGCCTTACATCAGAAGTAGCGTGACGTCAAATAAAATATTAGAAAAGTGTGTCCCAAAAATTAACCCTTTTTGCACATATTAATTAAAAATCAGTGATTATTAATAGATCGCAAAATCAGCAGAGTTGACAAGTAATTAGTTTTCTTAGTATGCTTAGTAGAATACATAAAGCGTGTCAGCAGAGATGTGTCCGTGTCACGTGATTTTGGTTAGCCCTCTCTCAGGTAAATTACCATTAAATATCTTTTTTGCCTAGCTTTCTATCAATATTAGGTTGTGTAAAATTAAGTTTGTCATTCATTTTAAAGTATATTTGTAAAGTTTTATCTTATAATTTTTGAGTGCAAGCTTTTAAAAAGCAGTTATAAAATTATTCTCTAGTAGTGCAAAAATAATATGGCTGCCTATGGCGCCGCACATTTTTTTGCGTAACTACATTGTTTCCAAATATTTTACACCCCCTCCGCTAACAGTTCTTCTTCTTCTTCTTTCGTTCGCATGAAATAAATTGTCTATATCTGCAAAGCCGTCTCTTGTATGAATTTCACTGTCTTTTGTAATTCACTAAGCGGCCCGTAAAGTTTGACTTCCACAAGTGTCTCTTTTGGCCAAATGTTTTGCCTGAAAGCGTTGAATATGGGACAGTCCTTGAAGGATGTGTCTGTTGTTTCAGGTGCCAGTCCACAAGTACACATGGCCGATTGGCCAATCTTAAATTTGTTGTACATGTGGGAGCGAAGTCTATTGTGCCCTGTTCTAAAGGCGAAGGATAATAACTTGCTCTGGTTTGTCCATAATATGGTAATCATCTTGTGCCAGTTTCGGTGGCATTCTGATTGATTTGATCATTCTCTTCTTCTGTTGATAAGAGATTGGTATGTCAGGTTGTTCTTTCAGTTGCACCTTCCTTAGCTAGTTTTATCAGCTTTTTCGTTTCCGGGAACTCCACAGTGGGAAGGTATCCACTGCATTACTAATTTACAGCGGTTGCCTAGTTCGGATAATAGTGTCCGTATGCTTGGTAATTTTTCCAGACTGGAGTGACTGAAGTACTGCTTTTGCATCTGTCAGGAATACCACTGGTTGTGAAAAATACCCTGTATTTAGTAGTTTCTCTACCGCTATCTTTGATGGCTTGAACTTCTGCATCATAGTTGTTTTGACAGTGCTTTCCCGTTGGTAATTTGGCTGTATCCCTGGTATTATTAGGATACTCAATGTACACTCCCGCACCTCCGTTTCTGACTGACTGCGCTTTCTGCTGACCCATCTGTGTAAACACGAACCCAAAGGTTCTGCGGGTATTCATCATCAAATAAACTGAGGGTGGCTGTTTTGCGCTGCACACTGTTTTGTTCTTCCTTGTCAAATACCCCTTTCACTTCAGTCTTGATGTGTATTGGAAACTTATACTCCTCTCTCCAGGGGTCCGTTCTGGGACAGCATTTAAGGATCTATCAGTTGCAGGTAAATCAGTGGTTTGTCTGCCGAGCCGTTTTGGCCTGGTGGATAAAACTACTTCTCTTTAGTCGTCCCAAAGCTAATTTTTGAATCTTTCATTCATAGGGTGACTGGGCATACTAAGAAACTTTTCTGCTTGTAAAAGCATCTTGGGTGTCTCTGCGTTCACTTAGTGCTTGGGTCATCCCCATTTTCTCCATCACAGCTATAGGTGTTGATTTCATACTGCCTGTGGTAACTCTGAGTGCTTGATTTTGCACTTTGTCTAATTCTTGCAATGTGGTTTTTGATGCCGAACTCCATGCTGTTGATCCGTATTCAAGATGTGGTCGAACACTTTGTTGGTAAACTTTTCTAAGTATTTTCCCGCTAGCACCCCATGTGGTTTCCACTTAGTTTTCTCAGAATGGCTACCCTCCTTCTGGCTTTTGGTTGCTGCCTTGTTGATGTGTTTTCTCCATGTTAATCTATCATCAAACGTTACGCCGAGGTATGTGGGCTCCTTATCCTCTCTCAGGGGTACTCCATTTATGTGCATGGCACCTGATTTTTGTTTAGGAGAAAGGGTAAAGAGAGTGGTGCTGCATTTGCCTATGTTGATGCTGACACACCATTTGTCGGCCCATTTAGCCATTGCATCTATGGCTCTTTGTAGCAGTCTGGTGGCCACTGTCGCATTTTCATTTGTACAACCAGAGTACCAAGTCATCAGCATACATTGCAGCTTTAATTCCATGGGGTAGTTCAGAAAGCAGGTCGTTGATATAGACTAGGAAGAGTGTGGGGGACAGGACACCTCCTTGTGGGACGCCATGGCGCAGCAAAACTTTCTTGCTCTTAAGTCCATCTATCTGTACTCGGGATCTTCTGTTATACAAGTATGCTTTGACCCATTTGTACATACTCCCATTCACCCGGCAGTCTCTCAGTTTCTTCAGTAGACCTTCTTTCCAGACCTTGTCAAAGGCTTTCTTCAGATCTATCCATGCCGTTAGCACTAGCTTCTTTTCCTGAAAGGCATCCTCAATTTCTTGTGAAAGGTAAGTTGTCTGGTCTTCTGTGGAGTAGCACTGTCTAAATCCTGCCTGCTGCGGCGTGAAAATGTTTTCACTTTCCAAGTACCATTGGAGTCTAAGGTTGACAATACGTTCCATTGTTTTACAGAGGCAGCTGGTAAGACTGATCGGTCTATAGCTGGAGGCATCAGAACTGTCCTTTCCTGGTTTAAGCAGAGGTATTGTGATTGCTTCTCTCCATATTTGAGGAACTTTGCCACTGGTCCAACAATGATTAAAGATCTGTAGCAGCTTTAGTTTGGCGGTTGTTCCAAGGTTCTTGATCATTTCGTTGGTGATTCCATCAGTTCCAGGTGATTTTCCCATTCTCAGTTTTGATATTGCTAATTCTAACTCACTGGATGTAAATGCTGCCACCAGTGCCTCAGGAATTATATCTTTTTGTCTTGTATGTTGTTTGTTTTCTTGAACCTCTCGCTGTTTCTCTGGGCTGACATTAATGTTGCTGTCTTCTGCAAAGGAATCTGCAAAGTGGTCAGCTGCCTGTTTTCTTGTTAGGATGGCTCCCTCTTTGCACAGTGCAATATAACCATTTCTCCCTGTATTCTCATCATTAATTTGCTTAATTAACCTCCACAACTTCCTTGTGTCTCTTTCAAAGTTTAGGGACTTTGTCTTTTCCTGCCAGCTTCTCCATCTAGCCTGCAGTTTGGCTCTTTGAAATTTGGCCTTTGAATGTTGGTAGTTGTTAAACTGCTCTTGACAAGGTCTGGTCTCAGCTTGTTTTCTTTCTGTTTCCATATTGTCCGCTAACAGTAAATCCATAATTGCATTCAGTATCCATTTTAGTAATTATGTCTAATTCCTCATTGATGAGTATAACTTAATTAAATATACACTACATTGTGAAAGGTATTTTATTCATATTATCCGCCGGTGGGCTCCGGGACCCTGTTTAAGGGAAAACAAGAACAGACCTATTGCCTACTCAAAAGCATGTTGTAAGAGTCAACTAACTGGGAACTGCCCAAGAGGCAAGGAACAAAAAGACTGCATACGAATGTGTCAGATTTGAAAAACGGATGTGCACACAACACTTAGGTTCTGGAACAGTACTACAGTCTAGAAGTGGATGAACGACCAGAACTTTCTGCCTGAGTTTACAGCTGGTGAACGCAAAGAAATTTTACGTTTAAATTAGTGCCACTTGATGTGTTTTGTAATTTCAGTAAGCCAGATTCATTCTTTTTCTTTATTGTTCCATGTTCTCCACATTTCTGATTTATTTGAATATAATCTGAGTGATTGTTGACAATCTTGTGAGTGTGATTCATCCTTAACAACTGAAAGAAAACCTGTTCAACTTGAAGTTTGCTGCCAAAGACCTGGAGCGACAAGCAAAGAAATCAGAGAAGGCTGAAAAGGATGAGAAACTTAAGTTGAAAAAGGTGAGCAATTAAATGCTGATACTTTGAGACCACTTGTATGTATATATATATATATATATTATATATATATATATATATATATATATATATATATATATAGATATATATATATATATATATATATATATATATATATATATATATATATATATATATATATATATATATATATATATATATATATTCTTATAGTAACATGCTGTGCTTGCACTGCTAAAGTCTGTCCATAACCTTCTGTTTATGTACTTTTGTCCAATTCTGACACAGATGATCTTCCAAGCCGTGATGTGAAACTGTCTTCCCTATTTTGTCTCTTTCTGCCTCTTCTCCCCTCCGACTTTTCCCACCAACACGATGTACTCCATTATGCTCCCTCGCATGACATGACCAAAAAATGTAGATCCTCTTCTTGTGATATGGGCAGTCAGTTCTCTTCGTGAGTCAGTTTCTTTACATGACATCTTCATTACCTGTTTAAAAAAAATCTATCCAGGGTATTCTCATAGTTTGTCTATAAAACCACATCTCTGCTGCTGATAAAGTTAAAATATCTTCCAGTGACTTTGTGTGTGCGCTGTTGATATGAAAATATGTTTCTTATCCTGTCTTTCATCTTCCAACAGTGTAGAGGTCCTCAGCCAACTCACACCAAGTCCTTTGTAGATTTATTGATGATTGGTTAGATTTTACAGCTGTTTTGATATGAGGTAAGGTCTCATACCAGCCTCATACCAACCTTTCTTAATTGCCTTTTATGACATGCATGGTGGATTATAGTGTTAATATTCTTTACTTCAAATATGGGTCCAGTATTAATTTAAAATATTGATTTTATGTTTTTGTGTATTTTGTTTTTATGTCTATTTATTATTCTTTCTGTGTATTCTGCGGCATTGGGGGGGGGGGGGGGGGGGGGGAAAAGACCAACTGCTTTGTAACAAGCAGGTCATGCAAGGTTACTCATTCGGGGTTTGCTGAAATCTGTTGTGTTAAGGCCAAAAAGCTCACATATTTCAGCCAAGCTTTAAACCACATTACAACCTGCCAACTGCCCTTTTAAGGCCAAACACAGAAGATTATTAAAAGTCTGTGCAGCCAAAACTCGCTCTGTGACAGACATTAACAGTCAGAGATGTGAATTTTGTTTAGAGATAATTATTGGTTTTATATTCTATTCTTCCTTTTATTTTGTTGAATCCAATCTGAAAATTATTTTAGTCAGCCAAAATTTACAGAAAAAAAGGAAAAACCTGGAAGGAGCCATGTTACAATCTAGGCTGGAGTTGTCAAATCCGAAGTCTAGCAATTCCCTTATATTGTTGTTGTTCTTTTACCTCTGTCTTTTATCTACCACAAAATTTTCTTGTTAGCGCGCCTCAAACACATGGCGAGGATACTGATGTTTGGAGAAGCAGGCAGATGTAAATAAGTGTGCAGTTTTTGCATGTTGAAAAATCCCATCACAGCTGCAAGTGGCAAAGAATAGGCCAGTAACTGGACAATACTGTTAGTGTGTGGACTATCCGTGAATAGACAGAGCTCAATGCACTGCATGGTACCCAATCTGTGAGGTTGGGATTACATTGTCAGAAAATACAGAACTCCAACATAGGGAAATTGGGGTGGGGGGGGGGGGAGGTGTAAGAATCTTATGTATGCTCTTTCTAATGTGTCTTTTAAGTGAATCTCCGTGTTTTAAGGCTGTTCTTGATACCATCATTCCAGATTTATGTGATATTTGTATATAAAAAAAAAATTTCAACGTTTCTTCAACTTGGCTCTCTGTTGTTGTTGGTACCAGGGCATTTTCATCAGATGGTCAAACCATCTTATCTGTTGCTCTTTTATTAAAAAAATGATTTAACGACTGGTTTTGGTGCCAGTCTTCTCATTTCTTCATTTTTAACTTTGTCTGTCTCTTGTACTGAAGCAGCTCTTTTGAGAGTTATAGAAACGGCAAACTACTAGATGTAAACTCCCCCCCAAAAAGAAAATACTTCGGCCAGTAAATAATGTGCTCAAGAAGACATATATCTAATGTTAACTGTTTGCAGCGGTCACTGATTTGATCTTTCCTTGATGAACAGGTTTCGCAGCTGATGGACAGGTTTGAGCAACAATTTGAGAACTTAGATGTGCAGTCGCAGGTGATGGAGAACACAATGATGAACTCCTCCACTCTGACAACACCACAGAGCCAAGTTGATTCTCTCATGCAGGAGGTGGCTGATGAAGCAGGGTAAATAACTATAAATACACTGTTATGTAGTAGATGCTCTCTCGCTTGCAACCTAAAGGTCTTAGGTTCGAATCTACATCAAATAAGATTAGTTCCAAATTGATCTCAGCTCTCAGATCGACCCGGCCATAAATGGGTATCAGGTACTGTCCTGGGAAAGAAAGACGGCTAGTGTTATGTGGCACATCATCCACTGAGTGCTAATTGCTCTTATCAAAATATGACTGTGGAATCATGTATCTGATGTGCCATTGAAAGGATCCTTTTTATTACCTGATAGATTTCTTCTTCATTCCTCTTGTGCATAACTAGGGTGTAGTGACCATCTCAGTAGGTGAAAGCCGACAGTCTACAAATGTCTGGGGCTTGCCTAGTCCTAGAGGCCATTAATTAGATGTTTGCTGAAATTGAATGTGTTGGGCTGAAAGGCTCAAATGTTGCAGCTTAGCTTTAAACCACAACACAGCATGTGAATCGCCCTTTTAAGGGTCAGCAAAGTAGAATAATATGCCAAGTGTAGTGTGATCAGATACCAAGTCTTACTGGATAAAGGGACAACTATGTGATCTCGTGAGCAAGTTTTCTGTGTGAACAATCTCACTGCATGTGGGCATTTCAACAAACAGGTTGTTGGTTGTATATTTTTTACTTCTGATAGTGGCAGCAAGTTGGCCCTATGATTTAGAGGTTATGAATATAGTTTCATAATTCCAGTGACCCAGTTTAGATTAAGCTGCAGGCGATTTGGTAGCAAACAGCTACTACAGCCTAATGCAGGGCTGTTCAACTGGTGGCCTGCGAACCAAATCTGGCCCTCAGAGGCCCAGCACGTGGCACACAGATCACGTGTCATTTGTATTGTGCTAATGGTCTGTCTATATTGTGGCCTCTGGCCCGTGACCATCCGCATTTTCCAACATTTTGGCCCCCTGAGTAAACTGAGCTGAATAGCCCGGCCTAGTGTAACATTTGTGGATTTCAATAGTTAACATTCTGGAACCAGATTGGTCCTACTGTTTGAATCTTGCTGCAGTATCGCAGCTGTCAGTGCCCATCAAGGGAAAACTATCAATGCTTTTATTAATTACAGGTTGGAGTTAAACTTGGACTTGCCATCAGCGCAGGGGTCTGCTGTCGGAGCTACTGCATCAACACAAGCATCACAAGAACAGGTAATATATTTGTTTAGCAACATGGTCTCATTAAAGGTAAAATATCATATTGTCTTCTTGTTTTTCATCTTCTGCAGTTTCCCCAGTGGAGTAAAGACCCTTAACCCACTTAGGACAAGTTGTGCCACATGCCTCCATGTCTTCCCCAGAGTATCATCTCCAAATCTCATTCTCTTCTCTGTATGTTAGATCTTTTTTTACCATGTTGGTTCCAGAAAAAAGACTGTCTAATTATACTACTGACAGGTTTTCTCAATATATGCTAGTGAATGTTTATGGGTAGTTAATAGTTATGTTCATCATTCAGTCTGTTTTTATCCATACAGCAAGCAGTAAGCAGTATTTGACATATTGTTAGCACTATTTGACATATTGTTAGCACTATTTGACACATTCTTAGCACTTGGAAGTTTGTGCAAGTTAACCCTCTCAACATAGAAACCCCTGGAGGGAAGGGGGCGGGGGGCACCAGAACTCGGAAATTCTTGTAGATTTCTTTTAAAAAAAAAACCCATTCTAACACTGGTCATCCTTTACAAATTTTAAAAATTTTTATACGGTTCTAAATTTTTAAAAGAAAAATATGAAGGGGAGTAACCAGTGTAAATAAGTGTAAATAAGATGGAGAATACAATGGCTGCTCTCTCTTTGACCTAAAAAGAAAAACCTACTAAATTTATTGAACTCATTGATTGACCCTGTGACCTTGTCACTTTGCAGCTAGTCAAAGCTAGCTAAAGGAGAATTATGACATGATGGTTAAAAGCAATGTCCATTAAAAAATAAAAACCCTCCAAATGCTGTTTTAAATCACTATAATAATATCGAGCCTTCCTAAACACTGCAGGTGCAGACAAACAAATGCTGCAGACTAGGTTTCTTAGGGACTGGCCAGAGCTGGTTTAGTGGCTTTTATGGGCATTTGTAATGGACTGATGCCAGATCTCAGGACCAAAGGGTTAACAGAGAAATTACATCTAGAAAAACAGACTTACTACTCTGTCACTGGGGAAACCCGATTGTTGTGAAGTGGAAACCTCGACTAAGACTAAGGCTGGGGAGAGTATTTAATGAGACAACCTTGAAATAACCTGAGGTCAGGACTCCAATCGCACAGCTTGGACTTGTGAGCAACTTAAGTTCCATATTTAAAGACTTGTGTCTTGACTTCAGGTTTTGTCCAGCAACTCGCGACTCGACTTACAACTTGTAGCATTGAAGACAGTACGATTTCTTCTTTGCTAGCGGCCAGTGTGAGGTTTAGTGATCAAATTAAACAATAATGTGACAAGTTTTCAGTTTTCTGCAAATAAAAAAAAATAAAAAACAATACCTTTAAAATGCAGTTGTATGCACTCAGATCAGCTTTTTATATAAACAGTCGAACAATTGTTGACTGCTGTTTTAGTCTTACAACAGACTAACTAATTTAATCCATATGCCTTGTCCCACGCATAAATTGCAAATGACATGATACATGAAGTGACCTGACTCAGGACTTAATTTGGGACTTGGGTCTCGACTTGAACTGGGAGAGATGACAGTCCAACCTCTGTTAATAACTCAGAATCTTTCCAGAGAAACCTGCCAAACACTAGAAATAGAGGGAGACCTAAGACATGTGGACAATTAGAGACGTTGGAGAATAATATAGGAAAGACATGGAAAGAGCTACAGGAGACAGCTGTGATTGAACTATTTGAGCTGATGTTCTGCCTTTCATTAACCAGCAAAAGGTAGACAAATGATGTTAAAAGGGAATATCTGGGCCAGCTTTGCTGCTAAGCTTCAGTGACATCTGAAACTTCTATGATGTCAGTTTGATCAGTTCTTCAAGACAGTTGTTGGATGGACATTTGTCTGTGAATTTGTGTGTGGCTCAGTTGTTAGCTTATTGTTATTATTATTTAGTTATTATTATTGTTAACATTGAACCTTATTTCTTTGCTCTAGGATGAATTATCACAGAGGCTGGCTAAACTTCGTCAGATGTAGCACAAATCAAATTCTGGACAATAGCTTCATGCTTGTGACAGCATCCTTACAGAGCCAGCCTGTATGTGTGTTTATGTGAGGAGAAAGGTAGAGAGAGAGAGAGAGAGGGCAGTCAGTCATCTGGTTTACTGGAATATCTAGTTATGTGAAATCACTTCCTTTGCACAAGTCACAAATGACTAATATGTGAACATTTGTCAGGAGTTACTTCCTTCACACAGATATCTATCTAGTAATGTTGAGTGTCCTTGTTGAGTCAGTAAAGGAGACGGAGGCCATTTTGGTTCACACAGGTTTCTAGCAAGACAGAGCATGCATCAGTTGGGTTGCAGTCCTTCTGTAGTATGTGCAGCTTTAACAAATAAGTGCGAATGTGGTGTTTTGATTTGTGTATACACATGGTATTTTGTGTACACATCTGGTGTTGTGTATGTGATTTTGTGTACACATCTGGTTTTTGTGTATGTGGTTTGCATATATATTTAGTATTGTGTTTGAATGTGAATTGGGTGTTGGCAACTTCTATAGCTCTTAACAGATAAATATCACAGCGAACATTTACATTTGATGTACATACACAATTTTTATATTTCATGTCACTGCCTGTTTAATTTAGGAGAAACACAAAGTCAATTGTTTGTTTCATTGGAATACTTCATTAAAGGAATTTAAAAGAAGGTTCTTGTCTTGTCGGTCATCTTTAACAAATTTTGATAATAAATTAGATGTCTGAGAAAGACCAGAAATAGATGTAGTAAGCAGTGATGAAAAGGTAAACTTCAAAGCAATACTAATTTACAAACAAAGATATAAAATCGAGTGTGTTTGCCCAATTAGAGAGAATGTCTTGTGATGCCATACCACACAGGGCATATACCAAAAGAGAACTGGGCTATACAGTCCTGGGTAGACAGCAAGGGAAAAGACATTAGGGAAACTACAATGGTATCAAGTGTCCATAAGTAAAAGTAAAGATTCCTTTTCACGCCTTTAGGCACATCGGGCACCCATATTTTTACCAACCAATCGGCGCTCAGTGGGTAATGTCGTCAGCATTACGCCAGCCGTCTTTGCTTCCCCAGGACAGCCATCCTGGTACCCATTTGAGGCTGGGTCGACCTGCGACGTCCCATACCACGATAAAAATCCATGCAGCCCGCAGTGGGTTTCGATCGTGGTACGTTTGATTACGAGTCGGATTTGCAATGCCTTAGGCATTAAGTGTCCATGGTAGCCAGAAAATTCAGAATCAGAACTCCCTCGATGCCTAGAGTAGTAAAAAGAGAAGTGGACAAGAAGGTAGGAGAATGCATGAGCACGTTAATTTACCTGTAATAAAAATGTCAGCTTGACAGTTATGTTACTGGTTTTGTCTTAATAGAAGTAATCTTTTGTGAAATCCCAAAGTCATAATACATATTTCCTGATCATGTTTTTGTACTTTATGCAATTTTCTTGTGAAAAATAACAACTCACAGTCATTACTGTTAAATGTATATTAGGGGCCGTAGAACCATAGCTGTCTGTATAGTTTAGAACACTGGGTTCTCCTGCAGGAGACTGGTTTAAATCTTTGGTAAGGTCATTGATTGAGGGAAAAGGAGGGGGGGGGGGGGGATAAAATCATAACCTGCACAGTCCAAGGTGACCACACTAGCCATACCGCCCTAGATCCTCAGGCTCAGATCCAGATACCGGAAGTGATTGGCAGTAGCAGTTTGATATCGCAGTGGCTAGCCAGCTGCTGATAGGTCATTTGTTAAAATCCCTTTAGGTGGATTTTTTCCCCTGGGTTACAAGGTTGATTGAGCCTGAAATGCACATCTGAAAATGTTCTAAAACAATCTAAATAGACACCATGAGGGAGCCTTGATGTCATTAGGAACAAAATGTATAATGCAAACCCGTTTGTGATTCTTTTATACACACACAAACACACGCACGTGCGAACACACACATACACACAAAAGGATGAGATCTGTGGCAGACCATCAAAAATAAAAGGGGTCTGCATGTCTCAGCTAACTGGAAAGCTCTGTTCCAGGAATTGATAGCAGTTGGAGTGATACCTCCCAGTTCGACTGATACCTACCAGTTGGAGAACAGAGTGATACTAACTAAACCAGCCATCAAGTCAAGTATGAGTGGGTCTAAAATATGGGACTAGCACCATATGCCCAATATGCCTGTTGGCTTGGGAATGGACCCAATACTTTGACTTTTCTGCCACAGTCAGTCAGGTGCTGTCTGCACAAGGATGGTTGTCTGCAGTGGATCCCCAGCACGCTCTCTCCCTCATGTCCTAGTTGTATACTCTCTGAGAATGCTATTCGTCCATGTTATCATCCCATTAATGTTACTGTCTACCTCTGTCTGCTTGCTTTCAAATTTTCCCTCCAGTATGGTTTTTGTGTGTGTTGTTTTTTCAAAGTGGCTTAAGTATTTCACTTATCTCTTTTTATTTACATTTCTTTTCATTTCCAGTTTCCTAAGAAAAAAATGCACTTGTTTTTTGTTTCTATGAAATATGACCTGTTCTTCTGTATATCTGCCACATCCTTACTATATATAAGATAATTAATCATTTAAACTAATGAACACATGAAGAAAGTTAAAGATAACAGTAATGTGTCAGAAATCAAACAATCCTTCTGTCTCTCAAGCCATTGTACATTATTATTACTGCACATATCTGAAATAAAATTCACAGTTAAACTGTGCTGTTGCATTTATTTGTTCTCTTTTTCAAGGAAAATAAAGAGAGCTAAAGGCACCAAGTTTATAATTGGACTCAACAGTGTTGATGTTTTCCCGTATGTGTCTTATTAATAACTGGCCAAGAAATTTATTTTTACTGTGTCCCTTTATTTTTCACCATAATTTCCACCAACATTGATGCACTTGTCCCATCATTTTATTAGTCCTCCTAAACCTGCTGCATAGAACTGCATGCTCTGTTTTCTAAACCACATTTTCATTTCACATTCAACTTCTGCGTCATTTGGGAAATGTTTTCCGCCAAGGTGGGTTCTCAGTGGACCAAAAAAGGTGGAAATTGCTAGGGGCTAAGTCGTGGCTGTAAGGTGGATGTTCCAGAAGTTTCCACCCTAGATGGATAATTTTCTCCTGAGTTAACCATGCCATATGAGGTCTGGCATTGTCATGAAGGAGCAGTACTCCTCTAGTTAGCAGGCCTAGACGTTTTCTTCCAATTGCATCCTGAAGCATCACTAAAACTTTACAGTATGAATCAGCATTCACATTGTCACGTTTTTTTTAAAAAATTGGTAAGAAGCACTAATTAACAATCCCAGAACATTGTCAGCATAACCTTCCCTGCTGATGACGTAACCTTGCATTTTATAACACAATGCAAAGAAGGATGTTTCCATTGCATTGAAGCACGCCCTGATTCGGGCTGGCAGTGATGCACCCATGATTCTTTCCCAGTAATAATCCTGTTCAGCATGTCTTCTCCTTCATCTGTTTATCGACAAAGGTGCTGCAAAAACAGGCCTAATCAATTCATTTTGTGTTCACCTGTCAATTGTCTGGGTATCCACCTTGAGCCCACTTTCTTAAATGTTTCATTCGATCATGCATTATATTGTGTGCTGAACCATGTCAGCACTCCATTGCAGCTGCTTCAGAGTCAACTGTTACTCGCCTATCACCTTTAATCATCTCCTCCTTCCGCTGCACGGATGCATCTGTTGCGATCTCAACAGGATGACCAACAATTTTAGAGCGTCTTTGAGAACTTTTTTTTAACAAAGCTTTGCAGCACTTTATGGGATAAACATTTGTCAGCATTAACAGGAAGCATTGCCTTATGAATGTCCTTTGCAGGCAGCCCTTTTGTCCTTTCCCCCTCAAAAAAGCTCCTACATAACAGCATGCTTTTTTTTTTTTGAGTGTGCACTCTCTAAGTACAGTCACCATTTTATTTCAGTATTGCAAATGCGCATGCAACACCTAGCGCCACCTGATGAGCATAAAGTTTGATGTTGCTGTCACCTGATGACACCTTTAAAAACCAACAACTACATTTTCCTGCCATCTCATAACTATTTGTGACTTACTTACTGACTTCCTCTCATTAATATGTGTGTATATGCTCTCTATCGCTCTCTCTCTCTCTCTCTCTCTCTCTCTCTCTCTCTCTCTCTCTCTCTCTCTCTATATATATATATATATATATATATATATATATATATATATATATATGTGTGTGTGTGTATATAAATATATATATATATATATATATATATATATATATATATATATATATGTGTGTGTGTGTGTGTGTATATATATATATATATATATATATATATATATATATATATATATATATATATATATATATATATATATATATATATATATATATATATATATATATATATATATATATATATATATATATATACACACACACACATAAATACACACATATGTATATATATATATATATATATGTTTATATACATGTGTGTGTGTATATATATATATATATATATACACTTAATAATATATATATATATATATATATATATATATATATATATATATATATACACTTAATAATATACTTGTATATGTGTATGTGGGAGTCGCCGGGGCCGAGCGGCTAGACACTTGTCACGGATCGGAAGGTCGTGGGTTCGCTCCCTGGCGGAGCCGGACTTATTTCAAAAATGACCTTGGCTCCCAGGTTGACCCAGCCTTGAGTTGGTACTGGGTGCAGTCTCGGGAAAGTAAAGGTGGCCAGCGTGATGCTGACCACATCACCCATCTTGTGCGAATTGGTCTAGAAAAATATAGGTCTAGCCCTATACGCCCGATGGCGTGGAAAAGGGTCCTTTACTTTTTTATATATGTGTGTGTATATATAGAGAGAGAGATAAAGGAAGAACATAATAAACTTAACAATGAAGCAACACTTAAAAGTGAAAGTAAACTTTTATTACAGTTACATGACTACTTTACATGGTTTT